TGCTCCCAGGAGGAGTGCTCCCAGAAAGTCGATGCGGGCAGGTGACTTCAAGTGGGATCTGGTGCTGTCTTCCCTAGCGGTGGCTGGTAAATCTGGCACTGTTAGCCAACACAGCAGCATCGCTGCCACAAAAATGGGGACTTGACCCAGGAATGACCTTCATTAAATGTGAGCCGTCAGCATCCGAGAGGGAGCAATAAGATGTGCGGGAACGTACCACCGCCAACCTATGGTATCCGCCATCAGGCCACCAATAGGGCCTCCAAGGCTGCGGCCAATCGTCGCGCCGACGTTCATGTAGCTCTGCCACGTCGCCACCTGTCGTAGAGGCGCAAGGTCTGAGGCTGTTGAATTAGTGTTTGTTTTCGTGGTTTTATGTGGCGGCACAAGGCAAGTCCACACGCTGGCCGGGCGCCGACTTGCCTGTAATAACGACAGATGCAAGCACCACCATGCCGGCACCGCCAGACCCGGAGATGAGACGCCCCAGAATGACTTGCCACATAGTTTGGCCAAGACCGCTAAGTACTCCAACTCATTAATCATTACGTGTTCGGTTGATCTGATTGATAAGGGGGCTTCGGTGCTTACATCAAAGCACTGAAGTGGTGAAGAGTTAGCTTGGCTTTGACGCACGCAACACCTGGGGGGTAACTCGCCAGCCTATGGCAAAAAGTCCGTAGGAGATCAGCAACATTGGCCGTCGACCATAGATATCACTCAGTTTGCCGAACTGTCCCGTGCATTCATCAGTTAGTAGGGGTCGCACGATATTGCAAGACAGAGACTCCAACGTACAAGTGACTGCGTGGCCGCACCGGCAAGATTGAACCCGATAAAGAGCCAGCTAGAGTTCTGAAGGTCTCCAAAGCTCGAGGCGATAGTCGTGTGCGTGGCCATAACCAGCGAGGCATCGGCATTGCCCATAAACACAGCTGGGAGCACATGTCAGTATCGCAAAGAAATGTGACCACTACTATGACACAGGCGTGTAGCTCACCAACAAGTAGCGCTGCAACCGTACGAGCAACGAATGCATCGCTGTACATTCTCTGATCGCCAGGTTTACTAGCTACAGTACGTGCTGCAGCATCATTTGCCTCGATGTCGTGTGTGGTCGACACTGGCGCTTGAACGGCTCCATTCGCAGGATGTGACACCGAGTACTGAACAGCCGGGTCGCGAAATGGATCCAGTAGAGGCGTGAATTCAGCTGTGACTTCTACGCTGGGCGTGCTGAGAACAGCCGTGCTGGGAGAAGACATTGTTCTCTGGCCGAGTCAGGGCATCAGTGAGCGACTTCTTGAGAAACAGGGGAGCGACACAACCTGCTGAGTTGGTAGTTTCTTCAACCTTGTGAGGCTCAGCTTGTTTGATGGGCTGAGTGTTAGTCGCATTACAGGGAATGGTGCGGTAATGTGACTCGCACCTGTCAGGGGCATGCAGAAGGACATGAACCACGGTCCAAATGATGGAGCACCGCGCTGGGGGGCCTGGTTCCGAGACCGGCACACCCTCAGGCGGTAGCTTGCTGCTGGGAATTCGCGATCTTGTTGCTCGAGCACACCATCCAGCCCTGTGAGGGGCGGAAGATCGCGCCTTCACGCTGACAACCAATCACGCACGTGGACTCCACAGCCACTGCCCTTATCTTGCATCAAGGGACATTCGAGTGCAATTCAGGCCCCGGTCAGCCCATTTTGATACCGGCAGTTCATTCGTGTGACACATTGGGCTCGTGACTGTCTCAATTGAGACCGGTGCGTCCCTCAGCGTAGAAATCAACAACCCGCGAAATGTGCGCGGCTGCTTCGATATTGTCTCCATCGAGCGGCATGCTGATTCTTCGGGCTCAGAGTGATCACGTAGGTGCTGGACTGTGAGCATGTCGGTGGTACATCTTGATTTGTGAAGAGTGGCGCTCAGTATTGCAATGGTTTTGTGTGATGGCGATAAACCTCATTCTCACTTAACCCTGCGTCTCTAATGGGACATCTTACAATGCCCACCAGCTAGTTTGTCAACCATCTCGCTGAGTGTGTGGGCGTCTACAGCCGAAGCCTAGAAATTGTACAGCTTCGGCCCTTCCTGATCGTCCTCACGCTGAGTATTGCCGTGCTTCCGCACGATCTTACGATTGAGGAAGAAGTAGACCACGACTAGAGTCGCAGCCGCACTGACGCCAACCGCAACCAGGCAGACCGCAACTGTCGAACCGCGTGAGTAAAGCGGTGCATCTTCAGGGCGGAGGACCTGAGCGCCGTAAATCCCTGCGCAGTTGGCCGCCATGATCATCATGGCCATCCGCACGGACCGCTCTGTGGGCGAGCGGGAGTTGAGTGACAGCCAGGAACCGTTGATAGGATCTGAAAGGAGCCTGTGGTCAGCTTGATTGCTAGAATGGGGAGTATGCAGACTTACGCCACCAGACCATAGTTGCCATGCTCATTACGAACAGAGCATATCTCACGTTGTTTGGAGCGCCTAACGGAAGCAACTTGTAGGCCAGCTACACCCAAGACCAGCGTCAGCCATCGCATATCTTACACATGTTTTTTGTCAGGGAAATCCTTTTACCGTGAACGTCAACTCGATGAAGACACAGATGAGCACCATCAATCCGCGTCGGCCCCATTTGTCCCTGTCAAGATCAATTGCATGTCAGCTTCGGGACTACGCGGAGACGGCTTGTCATGGCCAAGACGTAATTTCTGCCAGTCCGTGCCGGGGCAGACTTACGCAATGTAGCCAGACACGACCAGAAGCACGGCACTGAGCCAGTGACCGACAGAAACCATGGCATTAGCTCGAAGCTTTTCGTACCCAAAGCTGGCGATAATCGTGGGTCCATAGAGAGAGTATATCGTAGCGGGCGCCAGGGTTGCGAGCGTGATGGCCAAGTGCAGCCAAAGCTTGTAGTCCGAGAACTGTAGATTGGCAGATATCGGTCAGACTCTGAATCATCGAGCTGACCGGCTTCTCAGGACTTACAGTTTCCTTTAGGTGCTTGAGCGAAATCTTCTGCTTCTCACCACCCTTCGTGGCGTCTTGCAGCAGAACTCGATCCTGTAGGATGCGCACTTCGCGCTCGGTAAACCACCCGACCCTCAAGATCGACTTCGGGTTCGCGGGGGATCCTGGGAACATGAACACAAAGAAGATGCCCACAAGGATGGTGAAGACTCCCTCGATCTTTATTGCTGCTGTCAGTCGACTGCGTCGGGAGGTCTGTTGTGCTTGGGGTTGACTTACAATGAATAGCCATTGCCAGCCAGTAAGACCGGCGATGCCACGCATGTGAAGGCTAGGCAATTGCGACATCAGCTTCCAGCATATTCTTCTGCGGAATTCGCGAGGGGTACACTTACATTCCGTACGCGAAGAGGCCGCCGGTCGCGGCGGCCAGAAGATTGCCCGTGAAGAATATTGAGAATCGCTTGCTAATCTCCTCGGTTTTGTACCAGAGCGAGATCGTGTATAGGGAGCCAGGGATGTAACCGGCCTCTCCAAGGCTTTGAGAAGATGTTTCAGAAGATGTCAAATCGTACGGGCAGTGAATTCTTCTTACCCGAGTAGTAGCCTTGTGGTATAGAAAGCGGCAGGGCCGTGCTGGAAGGCTTGGAATGTTGCGACCAGCCCCCCTGGAGCGAAATGTCAGATTAGGTTTTCGCTCTGCGAAAGAGCAATCTTACATGCAATGATTTGTCCCGCGAGCCAGAACTTGGGACCGATGCGCATCAGCACAATATTGCTCGGCAGCTGGCGGAAATTAGCATGGGGGCAGGTTCCTCAATTCCCCGTTGACTTGTGCATGCTCACCTCGAGGGCGACGATTCCGGCCGACATCAAGGAAGCGCCTGTGTTGAACTGAGGCTGGCTAATCCCCACATCGGCCATGAAGTTATCTGTGGCGGCATTGCCTCTAGAAGACAGCGTTAGTCAATGCAGGATATGGCAAACGAGAAAGAGTGCCTAGAGCCTTACATATTGCCGCGATCGAGTTGCAATGCAAAGAAGCCTAGCCACAGCAATGGCAGAACGAGGAAGTCGACCCTGTGCACAAAATCATTAGTTGACACACCTCTGGACTTTGTGTGTGGAATGAGGACTGGTGGACAGAGTGCATCGTGTGTCGACCTACTTCCTTACGAGAGCGTCTTCCTCCTCCTTGATCCAGAACACTGCACGATTAGATTCTGAAGTCGCGGCGTGGTTGTCCGTTCCAAAATCAGACTGGATGCTGGCACCAGCACTGGTTTTCTCCGAGGGAGACATGATCCACATATGCTTGTACTACGTTGAAGTCGTTGTGAAGCATTGCGCATAGCAGATCAACAGGGGACGTTGATTGTGTGGTCATGTTATTTGAACCCCCGGTGTTGGTCGACACAATCTGAAGCCCTGATGGCGTGATTGAGGGTTAGTGCGAGATCGGGCACCAGCATGCTTGCCGGTACGAGGCCACGGCAAGTCGGGATCTTGGCTTGCAGGCATAAAGAGGGCCATGCATAGTCAAATTATAGCACGCCTGGCTTCGGGGAGAGCCTCTGAAATTGTCCTCCACACATGGTGCCACGTCGTGGATGTCGCGGCTCCCGGGAGAAACTCGGCCTCGGAGGCGCGCCGAGCCTCACGGCCGCGCAATCACTCACAGCACATCATGACACGAACAATCCGCTGAGTTGAATTCTTGATCAGTGTTATTTCGAGGCTAGAAAGGAATAACATTGCATGGCTTCGCGGTCGTACCATGTCTTCCGCCAGCTTGTGGACCACGACTCGCCGATCCGCCGACCAGGTATCTGGCAAATGACACTCGCGGAAGGGGCAATTGGTGACTCGAGTACGCGACCGTTGAGCACTAACCAATTTTTGAGTAGATCTATCGCAATGAAGCTACTTCAAGATTTAGACTGTTGCCTTCAACATGAACTCGCTGATCTTTTGACGCAGAGTCATAGAGGATGCTTAGGTGCGTGATCTTCAACAACAAACCGTCTGGTCTCGTGGCCCAATGGCAAGGCGTCTGACTACGACGATCCAAGAATACCATCTTGGCTCGAATCTGCAATCAGGAGATTCTGGGTTCGATCCCCAGCGAGATCATCTTTTTGACACCTAGGGAGCTTGGTGTAGCTCTAACCGATGCCAATGTGGAGATTTTTCTTTTGCTTAGCGTCAACGTCGAGGAACCTCCGGACGACCCATTGATGGATGCTCCGCGACGATGTAAACGAGCAGGCGACAACAACCGCCAGACAGCTAGCTATACAGCATCAGTCCAACCTGTTGCAACTTGAGTTGGATCAAAGCGTGTAAGATGAATTTTTTCTTTTCCCCTCATTTGCGACACATACACATGGTCGAAATTCGACATCTGGAAAAGCAGAACACGGCACCACGGGACCACCTCATTACCTTACCCAGAGCTCCGAGTTGACCTTCGTAAGGTTCTTCGCTATATTCCGCAGTTGCTGAGTTCGAGATGGTCACGAGGGCAAGAGAAGGCGACAGGCGGAAGAGCTAAAGGGAAATGAGCGGATGCTCTTCGGCGGTAGCCTCGATGCGAAGTGCCTGGCTGGGGAACACCGCTAACGTGCCTGAGAGCAGGCTTCAATTCGCGTATGGTGCGACAAGACATCGGCCATCACTCAAGACCTTATCACGTCTGTCCACTACTGTCATGTTTTGGTTCCTGTGCGTACTCATGTGATGTCGGACGAGCATTAGGCCGACTCTTTCTTAACGCCGGTTGTGTCACAAAGAAAATTGCGAGAGCGAGTCCGAGCCGGGCCGAATGAGAGACGCTGTAAACGCCGGAGCTAGTGCATTGCTTGATGTGTGTGTGTCTCAGAAATGGAAATTATTAGGCCCGCGGGGGCTGAGTAAGCCTGGATAATCAGGTGTGACGGTATAAAGGGCATGATGCGGGGACGTTGCTGACAACATATCATGAAAGGTCTGAGGTTTATTGTATCAGGACTTTCTTGCACTGATCATACGCATCGACAATCAAAGTCTCTCAATCGGCAGGACTTCAACCTCCTCAGGGCAACCATGGTCTCTGACGCCGCGGTACGCTCGTCCGCAGCCGCGGTCGTTACAACCCGCAACCGTCCCATGGTAGCTGTTTTCTTCGCAGGCGCCACGGGCATCGGGCACTACACACTGCGCGAGCTTGCACGACTGGCAGCGAACACACCCGGCGCATCTGGAATCCGGGCATACATTGTCGCACGAAAGGAGAGCGTTGCACAAGAGGTCATTGCCGAGTGCAGTGCTATCATACGGCAAGGAGTGAGCGGTGTCACCGTCGCCGAAGGCAATGGCAGTGGAGAGCACGGCAGTCAGGAGCCCACGGCCGAGTTTGAATTCGTGCAGACGAGCGATCTATCCCTGATGGGCGAGGTCGATCGAGTGTGTGCCCGCATTCATGAACTCGAGACCGCACGGGCTACTCGTGGTGGAGAGGGCGATGTCGCGAGAATCGATTACTTGCTCTTTACCCAGGGCCCGGCACCATACCAGCCAAGAAAGGAGACCAAAGAGGGCCTCGACTTCACCATGGCGATGCTCTACTACTCACGCATGCGCGCCATCACGCAGCTCCTGCCGATGCTACTCGCTGCCTCCGCACCTCCAAGCGCAATTGGGACGGACAGCAACGAGAAGCAGCACCACGCAACCATAGTCTCCGTCTACGCTGCCGGCATTGAAGACACCTTCGACCCGGCTAACCTCGCCCTCGATGTCAACCCCGAGGCGTCGTACAGCTACAACACGGCCCGCTCGCACATGGTGTACATGCACACGTTTTTCTTCGAGCAGCTTGCCCTCTCGCACGACAATCTCGCCCTCGTCCACGTCTTCCCGGGCCTGGTCGACGGGCCTGCATTCACCACGAACAAGGACCTCCCTGCGTGGTTCCGCACCCTCTGGGGGTGGGTGGTGGTTCCCTTGTTTGGGTGGGCGGTGCTCACCAGGGCGGAGGACTGTGGGAGGCGGTTATTGAGCCTTGCAGATGCGGAGAGATATCCTCCTGCTCGTGATGGTGGCGATGGGAGTGGTGCAAGTGCTGCGGTCCGGGGCACGACGGGTGAGATCGGCGGCGGGACTTATGCCCTCGGGTCGACCATGGACGACACGTTCAAGTCGGCAAAGTACGAAGGGATGGACCGCGATGCGATGAGAAAGAGAGTCTGGCAGCACACCATGGACGTTTTTGATACAATCGCTGGAGGCAAGATCTTCAAGGGTGAAGAGCAGTCACTTTCGTAGACTGGGTCTGGCAATGAGCAATATACGGAGTACTGATTGTCTCTGAATATGCGGCTGCTTAGATCAATGTGTCCTGGGGGAGTTCTGCATGTCGGTTCGGCAGACGGGCCGCCTATCAAGTATTCCCAGTCGCGGGGAACCAACCTCCCCTGCGGCCAAGGCAGCAAGGGACAACCAACACCAGCGGTCTCTGACTCGCCAGTGATCGATGTCAAGAAGCCCACCATCCTGACAAGCCTCGCCTCTGGCTCATTGTCACACTCGGGGGGACACTTGTCTAGCTTAGCTTCACGAGCACCACATCACTTCTCAGTTGCCGACATGTCTCCTCCCAATCTACTGACTCTCCCGTGGGACAACCGCCACGCAATCTGGGTGCAGCTCTTGCCAGAAACAGTAGTCCATCTGTCCCTCATCGACAGCTATCGGCTCGTCTTCAGCCCGTGCGATCCGGTTAAGCCGCGTTGGATGACGCGAAACGATGAGGAGAGAGAGGAGGGCTCCGGTCGGTCGTTTACGGAGCGGCTCACGACGCCGTGGGGACCGCACTGGCGCTGTGAGGAGCTTGACAGCCGCCATAAGGGGCCCGACTCTGATGCATGGTCACTGATGATGACCTGCAAGACCTTGTGAGTGTGTCCGTACCAATATTACGAAGTCCCGAGCTCACGTGGAACCGTGGCTCAGATTCGAAGACATGGTCGGCATCTTCACGGAAGGTGCTATCCACTTCGTCGGACTAGACGCCCTCGAGTGCCTGGCCTTCAAGCACGACCAGCTTACAGCCCAGTCGAGAGGCACGGCGGCAACAGTTCTGCGCTATATTCGACGCGTCCACGTTACTTTGAAGGTGTCGCTGGAGTTCTGCAAAGCCCTTGAACCCCGAGCAGATACTGCTGGACTGGACGACGACTGTCAGGAACTCCTCTCGTCCTGGAGGTTGATCGGCAAGACTCTGTCACATTTCGAGAACATTTCGTCGTTGCACGTGTGGATCGACCACTCCTGCCCGGACAAGTGGGAATCCCTGGACGAGAGGTCCATCACAGCACAACTCCAGGGGTTTGCAAAGGGTCTCCCAGGCGGTGTGGACGTGACTATCCAGCTACCGTGGCTGCACCCTTGGCACGAGGACGTGGAACGGCACTTCACTGAGGAGGAGCCATTGACCAAAGGCTTCCAGATCCCACGCTTCATCCGGCACCGCAAGTTCGTCGTGCCGAATATCGCTCCGTACATCTTCGAGGTTGAGGATTTCCCCTACCTGGCATACGACAGCTTATGGTGGGTGGAGAGCTTCCCAGACCCAGCAAGCTTGATGGCAGAAGAGCGCTCTTCATTCGCACAAGGTATAGACGTCGCAGCTGCCAATGCAAATTGGCAGGAGGAAATATCTGAAATCTGCGGGCAAGACTGTTCGTGGCCTCCTAAGCACCCTGAGCACCCACGACCACTCATCGCGCACCCGGCTCCCGTAGCCTGGTCCGACCTCCTGCAGCGGCACAATAGACTGCATAAGGCTATCGAGGAACCGATGCAAGTACAATGGGGCGTGGTCTAGATTTGAAGGGGGAAGTGATCGTTCTCGGATAAGCCAAGCATGTCACGCATCTCCACGGCTCGTTCCTCTCTGGTCAAATCAGCCTGGGATTCCGTGGCTAGGCTTTCACCCACTCTTTCTGGCTACAAGCATCAAGTTCCTCGGGGAAACACTGTAGTCAAAGATGGGCACAGCATCTACCTCCTGTCCTCCGTTCTCCACGAGAAACAAGTACCGATCAAGTACAATCACACTCTCGACAATCTTGCAGCAAATCACACTCAGTGTCCACAATATCGCGATCCGACCATTGTACCCTCGATATCGCTGCTCATAGTCCGCGAGCTCATCGTGGGTGATCCGGTCCCGGTCGATACTGAGACAGTTCATTGCGCGGCGCGTGAACTTCTCAAAACTGGCCATGTCGCCCTTGCGCACGCCCCAGACCGGCCTGTTCTCCTTGTCGAGCTCGATGCCCTTGTCAAAGAGGATCTTCTCCAGCAAGGCGCGGTAGAAGCGCCGCTTGGAGTACTCGGATTCCTGCTGGCTCAGGTCTGTCCTCTCCCAGTTGTTTGGTGCTTGACAGCCTGTCATCAGCGCCGTGGCACTCAGTCGCACGTCTCGCTCCCTCAGCTCGGTACTGATGGGGAAGCCGTCCGGGCAGTCGGCAGATCGGGGCACGATGTGGTTGTAGCAGCACCCTACGGCGCCAAGCTGCGTGATGAAGGGCACCGTCGTGAAGTACCGCAGCATGTGCTCGGAGAGATTGCCGCAGGCGTGCAGGCCGACGAGCATGCACCTCCCCCCACCCGACCAGGCTGCCATCTCGTCCACCAGCGCCGCCGAGCCGTCGATGAAGCGTTGCAAATGGTGGATCCTGTAGTCGGAGATTCCTAGGCTTGTGGCGGCAGACCTGGAGGCGGCGAGCTGGCTCTCGCTGCCATCTATGGCGAGGACCCGAAGATGTGGGAAGAGGAAGGCGAGTGAGACGGAGAGATAGCCCTGACCAGAACCCATGTCGACGATGTGCGTGATGCCGGCCGCCTCGCAGACATTTTGGATATATGACACGGCAATAGAGACCTCGGCGATCTTCTTTGTCTTCATGCGGTCTGTCAACACGGCTGGCAGATCCATGCTCGGGCCCTCGCGCTGAAGACGGGGGAGAGCCAGGGACTGCACCGCCTGGAGCCATCTTGCCAGCGACTCTGGGCAGCCTTGCACTCCAGCGTCCTGGTGGCCCCTCTCGACATCAGGTGCCGTGCGCTCCTCAATGTTGTCAATGAGA